TGAATCGATGAATTTGGTGTATGGTTTCTGTTCTTATTATTCAATTGACGCAGTTCTCTCCCAAATCCGTTACCATTCATGATGCCTGATAACTGAACTTTGGCAGCTCTCACTTGTGCCTCTTTGTTTCAGTCCACTAGGAAGTAATAAAGCTTTCAAGAAACTGAACTATACTTGTGTCTTGTGTCCTGGATGTTGTTGTTGGCTGACTTGAATTTCTGAACTTTTCATTTGCCTTGCCTTATATCACAGTTTGCCTTGAGAGTATGAAACTGATGTATGTAACTGAAGTCCAGTTGTACAGAGATTGAACGTTGCGAAAATTGTAGCCTTTTCAAGAGTTCCCATGCTAGTAATGTCATTTGTTATTGGTAGTAGTGCACTTTCTATAGATGTGTTGTCCTGTTTTGTTGCTTTTGTTCTGATTGATTATATATTCATTAAGTTTCATCTCTGTAGAGTTTTCAGTTCGATGAATTGATCAAGTTGCCATGTCTGTTCGATTTTCAGTTTGCGAAAAGCATAGAATATTTGGCCAATCACTACCACAATGTCACACTTCAACGTCAACAATACATTAGGCTATCGGCTGATTTTCACCCAACCATGTTTACTTCATCTTGAATGGCCATCAGGTGTATATTTGATTCAGGAATCCTCTTGTGAAACTCTCATCACAAGGATCGTGTTCTCTTTACGCCCCATGCTGAACCACGGCCAAGCACGCATTGGAATTGTTCCGGTCAACACGCGAGGAGTGCGAGGCACATGGCTTTCGTCGGGGTCTTTGACCATACAAGGAAGAATTTTTCTCCTGTTTTTAGCACTTCATTAGAATGACAATGTAGCGAATTTGCACAGCGAGTCAATATTTGATTTAAGGTCATGCAAAGTCATCGTGTAGCTGACAATCTGACAGAGTCTTATCGGAGTTTCTACTCAGTCTGCCGCTACGAAGTGCTATTTGTCCATAGCAACTCAGCAAGGATACTTTTGATTCTTGCAGTTGGAGATATGCCTTCACGTTCAGATTTCCTTCTCTATCTGTAAAGATGAATTGCTAGTTTCGAGAATACAGTTGTTGCTCCTTCTTCTCAATAGTTAAGTCCCGTAGTTGACCTTGTACATGGAAGGGAGTCTCATACTAGCTTTTGTTGAGAGAAAAACATCTGATGTAGAGTGGTGAAAATACTGCGGTTAATTTAGTGCAAAAAGCCTATACATTAGACACATTTTACGCTTCAAACTTCTTTTCTTTTCCTATTGTTAAACTAAAGTGTAAAACTCACAAGGCTTTGTTTTTCGGGTATATTTTTCTTGTTGATACGGCAGCCATGTATCGCTTTCCGACTTTCGGTAAGGGTCGGAGATGCTACTTTTTCCGACATCCGAGCTGTTTGTATGCTTTTCCTGTTTCAAAATACAAAACTCAGTAATATGTACACAATGGATACACAATGTGTAATATAAGTTTCGCTTTCTCTCCGGTGCTCTTTAAATAATTGCCGAAGTGTCTAAGGTTCATTTCTTTTCAAGCATATATCAAAGTTAACGGAAATTAGAATCAACTGTTCGAAGAGGCCGCCGAGTTGTCCAATTACCAAATCAAACAAGGGAAAAATGGTTTACAACGAATCATCATTAATGGCCAAATTATTGTTAGATTATGATGTTATTAGAGAAATTATATTTCCCACGTAATACCAATTAAGGCAATGATGAATACTGTGCTATATGTGAATACAATAGATCATACTCAATTTTAAATCTCGAGGACAAAGCTTGTTTGCCAAATAAAAATCAAATCCTAGTTTGGAAAGATATTTTTGCCTATATTATGATTTAACTATCTCCCATTTCGGCGGTTTTGTAGGTATTTGCATTTAATTTCAGTTTAGAATATGGTGTTTTTAATTTAATTATTTTTTAATGTATTTAATTATTTTCACTTATTTATTTAAATTATTAGTTTAATAATTTATTTAATTCATGTATTTATTTAATTTGTTTAATTTAATTTATTTATTTATTTTATTTGAGTATTTGTTTTGTAGTTTAATATTTATTTAGAAAATGTATGTTAATTGGTAGCTAAATGGATAATCTATCTTAATATTTAGGATTTATGGTATTGGTAAATAAATAATGTTTAACTTAAATATTTAGAGAATGTTTTTTAATTACGTATTATGTTCATAAGTTATAATTGTTATATTAAATAGGTAAATTTTTGGTTAATTATGTGTTTGGTTTGTTATATGTTTAAATTATATTAATTACGTAGTATGTTCGTATGAAATAGTTTTCTTTGTTAAATATGTGTTCAATTTGTTGTTAGTTTAGAAAGAATTGGTTAATTAGGTAGTATGTTCATAAGTTATAGTTGTTATATTAAAATGGCAATTTTTTGTTAATAATGTATTTCGTTTGTTATTAGTATATATTATGTTAATTAATTATCTTTAAAGTATAACAACATTATATTGGATTATATATTATGTTTTTGTTTATAATGAACTATTTGTGGTTTAATATTATTATTATTAATTTAAGTTATGATATAATTCATTTTTAATGTGTGCAGGATAGGTTTGATCAAGGGGATGACACTGATTATAGTTCGGCTTTTGCTACAAACGAGACTTTTGCCGAAAGGCCAGACGCAATTTCTTATGCGAAGGGTATTGCAAATATGTACAATACGGAGTTAAGTATATCCTCGCAGAATGATAATAATACTATACTCCTTTGTCATAAAGGAGGCCGGTACCAAGGTCAACAGGCCGTCCACGCCCGACCCAATACGAAGACACAGATGACCGGATGCCAGTTTTGTATTACTGTCTACAAAATATGTGATAGGTGGACGATTCGTGTATATCCCGGTCCGTAGGGAATGCACAACCATTCCTTGACAGATCCGCCTCGGGTTAGGAGCGGACTGAGCGCAGAAGTGAGAGAGCTCATTGAGGAGTATTCTAAAGTTGGGAGTAAGGCAGTTCATATTTTACGGGCGATATGGACACAATTTCCTGATGAAAATGTTACCTCCAAACAAGTCTACAACTACATAAATAAATTGCATAAGGAGGGATTTCTAATTCTGGATTACATGACTTCCACTGGGTTTTTTCTAGTAAAGGTTTTAACGAGTCATTATCCTAAGAAATTTCAACGTATTTTATATTTATTTTGTGATAAATATGGAATATAAAAATATAAAATTTCAACGTATTTTATATTTCATATTTTCTATTTTAAATTTTTTCAAAAAATATTCTCAGGGCGGCTAGATGCACCGATGATAAATAAATATATTTTAATTTAAATATTTAGAGAATGATAAATTTTTCGATGGTAGTAAATGGTAATTTTTGATTAATATATAAGTAACTAGTGTATTTTTTATTAGTTATTTATAAATAATTTTTCGGTAGTAAATTCATATGTTTTAGTTGTTATTAAATGTTAATTTTTTATTAAGTTTAAAAAATTCAAAATAATTAAATAATAAATTTACAATACAAAATTAAGCAACATTCTCTAAATATTTAATTTAAAAATTTATTTATTTAAGTTAAAATTATTTATTTAACCGCCGTGCAAATAAATAAATATACTTAAATAAATAAATAAAATAAAATAAATAATTAAATAAATAAATAAATTTTAAAAAATAAATTAAAAAAAGGATGGCTGCCAATTGGACCGCCACCCAATCGGTTTGGCGAGCAGTTTGCTCGCCAAACCGGCCAGGGGGTGGCTCATGATTTGTGTGCCACCCCCTTTTCAGGGGCAAAAAAATTGCTAGGGTGGGGAGAAAAGTGCACGCCACCCGCGCCCGTGAAAAATTGCTAGGGTGTCGAGAAAAATTGCTAGGGTGGCATGTTTCTCCTGCGCCCGCCGTGGAAGGCTGGCGCAAAAATGCGTCCCTCCCTCTCCTTTCTTTAAAAAAAAAAATTTATGCGAGGATAAAATAATCTTTTTAAGGTTTTTTTAGGACGCTCAAATGAAAAAATTAAGGCGTTCAGTAGCCTACCAGAAAAAGATAATTGTTAATTAGCTGGCTTTTTTTTTTGTTTTTTTTGCTCGGTGACTAAGTTTCAGCCTCTCCCGGGAATTCATATCATTATTATTATTATTAAGATTTGGTTGGGAACTGGGGTTTTCTTTTTTCTTTTCTTTTTTTAAGTAAGGGTACTCCTACTTATAATTGGTTTTGTAAAGAACCGATATTATTGTCGTATAAATACCCCTCCTGTCCCAGAAATTTGGACACAATTATTTGATATCACAAACTTTCGAGGTAACTTTCTTCTTCTTTATTCTTAGTTCTTTGTTCAATAATATTATGCTTTCCGCGAATTTTTCATACTTTTTGTATATGACTGATTTATTATCAACTTTAATTTTTTCTCATTCGAAGTATGGCGTGCCTTTATTTTTTCCTTTTGTCCTTTGCCTAATATTGCATAGCTTCGATCTGTCGATTGCTTTTGACCAATCAACTGTTTGCCTTGAGTTATACAAGTTTGTTATTTTAATTTATTGCTCACTAGAAAATCATGAAGATAATTTTACAAATCCAACTGCTCCAACGTATAATATCTTTTTTGTTTTTCAACTTTATTTACATTTTTTTTGTTTTTGTTGGGTTGCTGTATCTTGCCTGTTTATGGCCGCCGGTAGAACTTTAACCAGAAGAAGTGAAACCTATAGAGACATTTCTTGATAAATAAATTAATTCTTTTTAGTCTAAAGAGTGCTGGGTTTTTTTTCCCCTAATTTGATTGTTGGCTAATTAAACGTGGCTTAATTTGCAAATTTATATTTGGAATAGGAGAACTTTGACTTAGTTTTCAATAAATAACAAAGTTGTTCTTTTGGCATATTTGTACACGAAAAAGGAACTCAGCTTATGTATGTATATTAAAGCATTAGGTCTATTGCTCTGTTACTTTCAGGACAAACAGAACATTCTTTTACCAAATTCTACAGCTATGGCAAACCAAGAACAGAAAACCGCTGAAGGACAAGAAGTTTTCACTTCATACAATGAGGTCCATGACAGTTTCGATACCATGGGGCTGCGAGAAGATCTCCTGAGAGGCATTTACGCTTACGGTTTCGAGAAGCCTTCCGCAATTCAGCAGAGGGGAATTGTTCCCTTCGCCAAGGGATACGACGTGATTGAACAGGCTCAATCCGGTACCGGAAAGACGGGGACTTCCTCCAACAGCTCGACTGCACCGTCCCCGTGTGCCAGGCCCTCGTCCTCGCCCCGACCCGAGAGCTCGCGCAGCAGATCCGGACCGTCATGCTAGCCCTAGGTGACCACCTGAAAGCCAAAGTCCACGCCTGCGTTGGCGGCACGAGCGTCCGTGAAGACCGGCTGGTCCTCTCGGCCGGTGTTCATGTCGTGGTTGGTACCCCTGGTAGGGTTTTCGACATGTTAAGGCGAGATTCGCTCCGCCCCGACCACATCAGGATGTTTGTTCTTGACGAAGCTGATGAGATGCTTTCAAGAGGGTTCAAGGATCAGATTTACGACATCTTCCAGCTTTTGCCGCAAGAAATCCAGGTTGGTTTGTTCTCAGCAACAATGCCTTCCGAGGCTCTTGAACTCACACAAAAGTTCATGAGAAACCCCGTCAGGATCCTCGTCCAGCGCGACGAGCTTACCCTGGAGGGAATCAGGCAATTCTACATCGATATTGGGAGAGAAGACGATAAGTTTGAAGCGCTTTGCGATCTTTATACGACTGTAGCCATCACCCAGAGTGTTATCTTTGTTAACACCCGACGCAAAGTCGATTGGTTGACGGAAAAGATGCGCAACCAAGACCACACGGTGTCGGCAATCCATGGAGACATGGATAAGAACACGAGGGACGAGATCATGCGAGATTTTCGCAGCGGTTCCTCCCGGGTTCTGATCACCACGGACCTTCTCGCTCGCGGCATCGACGTCCAACAAGTCTCGTTGGTTCTTAACTATGACCTTCCGACTCAGGCTGAGACCTACCTTCATCGGATCGGCCGGAGCGGACGGTTTGGGAGAAAGGGTGTCGCAATCAACTTTGTGACTCGCGAGGATGAGCACGTGCAGGCTGAGATTCAGAGGTATTACAATGTTGTAATTGAGGAGCTGCCAGCCGATGTAGCTGAACTTCTTTGAAGAGGATCACTTTGGTTACTCTTACTTCGGGATAGTAAGGGGATGGATGGATTAGGTTTCTCAGTTTTTTGCTTTTTTATTTTCCCCGGATTTTATCATGTAAGGTTTTAGGTTTTAAATTTATATTTAATTAAGAGTTATGGCAGAATTGAGCTTGTCTTCAGTTGCTAAGGATTTTGTTTAGCTGTTTTTAATGTTATTACTTATTTCTAGAGTTAATTAACTTGTGCTGTTTTAAGAAGTTTAAGAAAAAAACGTGGTAAGCATTTTATTATTCATGTAAATGTCTTCTTAATTCACACGTACAATTGGTTAATTGTTTAGGTAAGGGCTTTCAATTATATAAAAATAAAATAGCACTTCACTCTTATGAAAAACTTGGGGTTAAAAGAGTTAATTGACAGTTATATAAGATAGGATATAGGAGAAGCGGAATCAAATTTATCGAGTTCTGTCCATAAAACATCAAACTAATGAACTAAATTGAGAGAGCTCACACGTGGAATACGCAACAATTGAGTTATTTATGCGCCCGTGATGATGGGTTAGTGTTCGGACTAAAGAAAATTTTTGACTTTTCGAAATTGATTTCTTTGTCGAGAAATGGACTCATAATTGTTTGAGGACGTAACTCTGGGCTTTCAGGTCCTGAGTAACCTACATTTTTTTTGTCATTTTTTTAATGTGTCTCAAATCATGAATATTATCCAGTACTCTAAAGAGTGACGTATTTTATAGTAAATTATTTCGGCGGTATGGGAACCAATGTCCCAAGAGAGTTTTGATGTTCGGCTTCTTTCTTCAAGTGTTAAGTTGGTTAGAGCAAGATATAATTAATAAAATTTTCTCGATAATTATTTTATTTTGAATTTAGACTTTGACCTCATTTATTGTACTATATATATATATATAGTAATTAATTAAAGCAGCAAACAAAAAGAATATGTGTCAGCATCACAATGAAAATTTTACCGCCAAAAGTCATTTTCAGTACAAAATCATTTTTGACACGTGGCACTCTAACTAAACAAAAAAAAAAGATGGAATAGATAAATACATACCTTAATTATAGCTATATAAAAATCTCTAATTATAGGTATATACTAATCCCTTAAAACAACAATATTTAGTTGATAATATCAAATGTAAGAAAAATTTCTTAAATCAAGTGAAACACCAGTAATGTCTTTCCAATCCCCAATTTTAAAGAATCTCTTCCATTCCGCTTCTCTCTCACACCCGGGCCTTTAAATCAATTACTTAAAATCTGACATCAATTATCAATCTATCTCTTTCTACAACAGAGAAAAAATAAGCTGTCATGAAAGAAATTTGATTTTTTAAGAATGATTTTTTTTTATTCTTCTGTTATAGATATTGGATTATGATTTATGTAAACTCAGGCATAAGTTAACTGTTGTAAATTAAATGTTATAATTCTGGCATAGATTTATGTGTAATAACACACTTCCTGTCCTTTTAATCAATTTTTTATTCTTCTATTTTTTTTCTTTTAAAAATGATTCGTATTCTTTATTTAATCAATTTAAAAATACTAGCGGTCCCCGGCATTCGCCCGGGACAAGCATCTAGTATTTATTATAAGAGAACCAAAGTTGCAGGTTTCTTCTTGCGTCGCATGTCTAAAAAAATATCATATGACTCTCAAAGAATACTAGATTCTCGGTTTGGAGGTGCTTGAGCACCCCCCGGCCGACGAAAAAGCTCCATATATTTATTTTGGGTTAGCTTTTATTTAGTCTTTAGTCTAATGCTAGCACCTCCGGTTTCATGTAAAAGCTTGGAAATGATGTGAGGCAGTAGTGACGATGGTGCTAATCAGCTAGTGAGAAAGGAGGTTTGGCGAATGTTTTACTTTCTGTAAATATTGAGATCGATTTGTACTTTCTATTTGGTTAGATAAGTAAATTAAGGAAATTAAATATTTTGATTTTATTTAAAATGGGGTGGGTATGGTCCAAGAATATACTATAAATTGTGATCTTAATTGAGATTTTGTTTATCTTTCTAAAACCAAAAACAACACTATAACCATGAAGAAATTCAAAAGTTAAAATACACACATATACATGTATACTCTACAAAATTTTCTTTCGTACTACTACCTAAGAACAAATTTCCTACACTTTCACTTTTTTTCCCCTAAGAAACTCTCAAAATTTATTCCATCGCCGGAATAATAAATCATAAAATGTCTCTTCAACACTATTTCATATTTTAGATCGATAGCTCTTTGCCTTCTTTCCTCTATAAAGTTGAGCACCCCCAGATTTTGAAGGCTAGTTACGATATATCCTCCCAAGTGCGAGCAAATCTTGCAATACGGCTGAGAAAACGGCAATTTATCCAGTATATCCGGGGGCACCGTGCCCCCCTCCTATTTTTTGCATTTCTAGTTCTTATTGTACTTTTTTATCAATCTTTTTATATTTTGCAAGTTTAGTCCCTGTCATTTTTTCTCTCTTCCAAAAGAAACATCTCTAATCTTTCAACGAGCATATCTCCCAATCCGTGAAGAATTTGTGAACGAATTATATATGAAATTTATAGTACTCATCGAGATCTATCCAACGAAATCCACAGTGATATTTTTTCGGGCTTAAAAATGACTTAATTCTGATGGAAGGAATAGAGATGGTTATCCATCTTCTTAAACTGGATATCCAATGTGTTCATATTGATTATCCAATGTCAAAAATATGATTGGATAACAAGTACGAACAGAATGGATAATCAGTCCAAACCGGTTGGATAATCAGTAGGAACACAATGGATAACCATTTTTCAAAGAAAAACGAAAAACACATTTCTTCATTTCTGCCCCTAAAATTTAAATGCATTTAAAATTCAAAAAAAATATTCAACATTGATCTTATAGGATAGATCTCATCGAGCACTATAAATTTCATATATAATTCATGTTATAATTCTTTACGAATCAAAAGATACAAGGAACACAACAATATGAATGTAAAATAAGTTGGTTATCCATCTTTCTAAACTGGTTATCCACTGTGTTCATATTGAATATCCAACTTCTTTGTGGTGGTTATCAAGTATTTTTTTTCCTTGCTCTTTTATGAAAATGATTGTCAAATTTTTTTGTACTGATTATCCAACGTGTTGCACTGATTGTCCAATTATTTTTTATTGATTATCCAAATTGTTTGCAATGCTTATCCAATCATTTTTTCTTTCTTTCTTTTTTTTTTCTTTTGAAGAGTGAATGTTAAAAATATGATTGGATAACAAGTGCGAATAGAATGGATAATCAGTCCAAACCGGTTGGATAATCAGTAGAAACACAACGGATAACCATTTTTCAAAGAAAACGAAAAACACATTTCTTCATTTTCTGTCCGTAAAATTTAAATGTATTTAAAATTCAAAAAAAAATTCAACATGGATCTTATCGGATAGATCTCGTCGAGCACTATAAATTTCATATATAATTCGTGTTATAATTTTTTACGGATCAAAAGATATAAGGAACACAACAATATGAATGTAAAATAAGTTGGTTATCCATCTTCTTAAACTGGATATCCAATGTGTTCATATTGATTATCCAACTTCTTTGTGGTGTTTATCCAGTATTTTTTTTCTTTGCTCTTTTATGAAAATGATTGTCAAACTTTTTTGCACTGATTATCCAACGTGTTGCACTGATTATCCAATTATTTTCTATTGATTATTCAAATTGTTTGTAATGCTTATCCAATCATTTTTTCTTTCTTTTTTTTTTTTTTTTGAAGAGTGAATGTCAAAAATATGATTGGATAACAAGTACAAATATAATGGATAATCAGTCCAAACCGGTTAGATAATCAGTAGGAACACAATGGATAACCAATTTAGAACAAGTTGGTTATCCAAATTGTTTGAACTGGTTATCCACTGTGTTCATTCTGATTATCCAACTTGTTTATACTGGATATCCAACTTGTTTGTACTGGATATCCAACTTAATTCTGCCCAAAGAAATTTTATCATTTTTAAGTTGGAAAAAAATATTGGATATAGATCTTGTTGAATAGATCTCAACGAGTATTACAATTTTCATGCAGCACGTTCTCTAATTCTTTACGGATTATGAGATATGGTCATTTAAAGATTGGAGATATGTTTTAAAGGAGAGAGAAAAAAAATTACAGGGATTAAACTTGCAAATCATAAAAAGATTGATGAAAAATACAATAAGAACTCCTCGTGCAAAAAATAGGAGGGGGGCACCGTGCCCCCGGGTATACTGGATACAGCCTCAAGAAAACTGCAAGCATATAATACCTCGACGCACTCCTCGGCTTGGAACATGATAGCCAAACTGATTGCCATTCAGCAGAAAGGAAAAAGAAGACGAAAAAATTTACTTCCCAACAAGTCTAACTATCTACTGACTCATCAAAACCCATTGATAAGAGCAAAACTAGATGTATTTTTATGCTCTTTTTCCTAGTGATTTTAATAAATATTTGCATATTAAAGTATTAATGATGTGGATAAAAAAATTATTTTAATTGAGATAAATGATGAATTGTTGAAGTTTTAGAATTAATTGAAGTTATAAAGAAAAATTACAGAGAAAAATACAAATTATATAGAGCACCTGGTGCGCTTCAGCTTAGAGCGCACCAGGCTGAGCAGGCGCGCGCCCCGCGCCTACTCAATACTCTTTTCTTCCTTTTTTAATTTTATTTTTGTATTTTAGTTTTTTTAATCTCATAAACTATTTTTTTAATGTAATTTCAACCACTTTTACACATGTAATTAATATAGTAGGATTTAATATGTGATATAACAAGAATAAATTATAAATTTTTTTAATTCAATTAAGCTAGGGTCTCGCAATCACTTTTACACATCCAATTAATAGATTAGGATTTAATGTGTGATATAACAAGAATAAATTATAAATGTTTTTAATTCAATTAGGCTAGGGTCTAGCCTAATTGAATTAAAAAAATTTAAACCGAATAAAAAACATGATGTGCTTAGTGTTTAGGGTTTAGGTGGGTTTAAGTCTTTTAATTAAGTTAGGATATAATAATTAGTATTTAGGTTGGGGTTTAAAAATAATAAAATTAATAAAATTAAAAAAAATTAAAAAAAAAAGTGACAAAAAAAAGGGGTGAACGTGCGTCGCCCGGTGCCCGGTGCCCGGTGCTACCTATCGGGTGCCCAGTATAACAATTGGAGGAGGAAGGAACGAGGTTAGGAATTGAGCTAAATCAAATGTCGGCCGATGGAGATGAAGCTAATTTGCATGGGATGCAATTAAATGATTTTTTCGGGGCCTGGTTCTGGAGCCCAAATAAACACAAATGTGGGCTAGAGCTGCAAAGCAATGAAAGAGAGCTCCACCAATTCAAAGAAGCCCATGTGCTACTTTCTTTTGAGAATTTAGCTTAGAGAAAAAAAAAAAAAGCTGCTGCTGCTGCTGCTTCTTGACCGAGAAGAAAATAAACTCCAATGTTTAATTAATGTGAGGCGGCTAAACTAGCTTGGAGGAAGTATAATTTTGATTGGATTGGGAAATAAATTTTCTTAATTTCCAAGATATTGGGCTTTGGAAAACATATAAAATGTTTATTCCAAAATTATTGTCCAGTTTGAATTTTCATTTTTAACAAACATCTATACTGTACAATAATCTCGGGATGAAGGGAGTATAAAGGAGGATTGGGTTCTTCTTGACAAGACCCGCGCACAAAAGCACACCACCAAGCGGCAGCCTCCCCAGCATCTTCATCATAATTACGAAAGCTGTCGTACGTGAAGAAGAAAACAAGCCACACAACTTTAGTTACTTGGGCGGATTTTTGTTGAATTATTTTCAATAGTGTATAGTAGCTTTAATTAATCTAGGGTAATAGTTGTCGGAGAAACGAACGAACCTTGTTTATTTTTCGCCTGATTGTTTAACTTTTTGGTCCCGGATTGACGTTGATAACTGAGAATCATATTCCATATCGACTGTAAAGCCCTGTCTTGAATCCGCGGAAACGGTTTGCTCGATTGAAGTTTTGAACGATGAGTAAAAAGCCCTTCTCTCCAGTCATCTTCGAAAGTAAAAAGCCCTTCTTACCTAAAATACATTTTTTCATACCTTTTTAATGAAACTCTTCTCTTATACTTATTCTTTTCATTTTATTAGAAAAACTTTCTAAAATACATTTTCCTTAACAATAATAGTTTCCTCAATGAATATTAGCTTCAATTGAATGTAGACCAAAAGAAATAAGAGAAAAGATAAGTTTCAATAAGCTCAATTAATTTTTTATAATTAATGAATAGTAAACTAGAATTGATCCCACGATCATGACCGATCATGTACGATCCTAACCGATCATGACCGATACTACTGCAAAATTCGAGTTTGATCGATTCAGAATCGATTTAGGTACCTGGGATCGTAGAATTGGACGATCCTACTATTCAGGATCGCGAGTTTGCGAACTATGATTCACCCTCCTTCTGATGACACTGTAGCTCCATTTTCATTAGCAATTTGGTGGTTTTGTACCGATTTATTGAAACTGGAACTTTAAATGGATTTATTTTTTATACTCTTGCTTGTGTGCGCGTGTTTGTGTGCCTGGAAGGGCATAGATAAAACAGTGCAAATTGATGATGAGAAGTTATCCAAAGATACATAAAATCGCTCGGAAATTGTTGCGAATGGGTGTATTTCTAGCAAGTGATCAAATTGTTACGACTTTGTGCAGTCTGTGACATAAATTCAAAAACATATATACGCCACACTGGCCAGCTAGTTGAACTTGTTAACTTTTACTTGTTCTCCTTGTTTTTCTTTTGGCTTGTTTCTCTTTTGTTTTTGGTTGTATACTTGTAGTTGGATGGTATTACATCAATCTTACACTTATAAAATGAATTAAAAATGGCAAACCCAGAACTAAGGAGACTACTAGATGACATATCGGAAGTTTTTCGCCCAAGTAATGTAATTATTCAATATCTATATGTTTTGCCTCTCCTATTGTGCAGCAAAAGAAAAAGAAAAACAATAGTTTCTAAGTTAATGAAATTTTTTTTTCCCGTATATAAAGTCCTACCTGAATTTTGAAAATAAATAAAGCTCTTTTCCTGGTAGGAGTAGGATTGGTTAGAATTAGGTAATTATTGTAAGAATTGGAATAGGATTGATTTCTTATTTGCAGTTCTAAATTGGTTGCATAGATCTGTCTATAAATACAATCCGCATTGGCATATTTGTACCAAGAAAAAAGAAATTCAGATTATCTCGATTGCTCACTTTCAATTTTATAAACATATTTGAAGTCATGGCTTCCCAGGAACAGATTAATACTGCCGAAGGAAAAGAAATTTTCACTTCTTATGATGAAGTCTGTGACAGTTTTGAATTGATGGGATTGCAAGAAAATCTTCTTAGAGGGATTTATGCTTATGGTTTCGAGAAGCCTTCTGCCATTCAACAGAAGGGAATCTTTCCCTTCATCAAGGGTTTTGATGTAATTCAAGAGGCACCATCTGGAACCGGTAAGAAAGCAACACTCTGTGTCGGAATCCTTAATCAGCTCGACTACGACCTCGCTGAGAACTGTCAGGCTGTGGTTCTTGCTCCGACTCGCGAGCTCGCCGAGAAAATCGAGAAGGTAATGCTTTCCCTAGGCTGTTACCTCGGAGTTAGGGGTCATTCTTGCGTTGGAGGCACAAGGGTTGTTGAGAGCCAGCAAATCCTCTCCCGCGGGGTTCATGTCGTGGTTGGTACCCCTGGCCGGGTACTCGAGATGTTGAGGAGACGTTATCTTTACCCCGATTACGTCAAGATGTACGTGCTTTATGATACTGATGAAATGATGTCAAGAGGGTTCCTTGGTGAGATTTACGACATCTTCAATCTTTTGCCACCAAAGATTCAGGTCGGAGTGTTTTCGTCGACAATATTGCCACCTGAAAAACTCGAATTGACAAGAAAATTAATGTGTAACCCTCGCAGGATCCTGATTGAGCGCGACGAGTTTGCTTTTGAGGACATTAAGATATTTCATGTCATGGTTGAGAAAGAAGAATGGAAGTTTAAAACCCTTTGCGACCTTTATGGGAGCTGCGACATCAACCAGTGCGCCATCTTTGTTAACACGGGGCGAAAGGTCAATTCGCTGGCGAAGAAAATGCGGAACCTAGACCTCACTGTCTCAGCGGTCGCCCGTGAAACAAACATGTATCCTAACGCGAGGGACGTTCTCAGCATCCGAGAATTCAGCGAGGGTTTCTCCTCGGTGTTGATCACGACAGACCTCCTCGCTCGTGGTATCGATCCCCAGCAAGTCTCGCTGGTGATAAACTATGATCTTCCCACTCAGCCGGAGAACTACCTTCATTGTATTCGTCAAAGTGGCGGTTTCGGAAGAAAGGGTGTTGCCATTATCTTTGTCACTCGTGAAGAAGACATCATGTTCTTTGAGCTTCAGAAATTTTATAATTGCGTAATCGAGGAGCTGCCAGCCAACTTAGTTGATCTCATTTGAATAGGATTTCTGGATACCACAAAACTTTTTACTTGTTTTCCTATTGTGAGAGATTCATATTAAAAGAAAACAGTATATGTAGTGAAAATATATATACAATGAAATTCTCAATTGATTTTCTTATATGTTTGTACCGAAAGGATTTTCTTATAAGTAATTTAAGTTTTAATAATTAATTATTACTGTCTGCAGCGACGGGATCTCCCTGAAAATTACCAGACACTTAATTCTAATTTTTTTGGTAAGAAGGTTAATTTGTATAAAGAGCTTATCGTACAAAACTTTCCTCTATGTCCAAAAACATCTATTAAGCAACAAGACTCATGCTAGGCAAAGGTTAACTCTCAAAGTAAATGGCCAGTAAACGTCTAAAGTCCTCACTAAAACCACATATTGACGACAATTCAGTCGTCACATGTTGAACACTATTGAATGGTCCCTAAATCATCAAAGTGATGACAAAATTATTTCTCGCCACTAAGGCTACATGTTTAGTGACCAGAGAGTGCTGGTCACAAATTTATTGACGATAAAAAATCGTCACAATACTTGGTCTTAAAACCTTGACATGGTCACTAAGAAAATCCTTTTTGTGACCGGATTTTTGCAGTGAGCGGCTTTTGTTGTTAGTTGGTAAACCATTTGAATCAAACCGGTTCGATTTGGTTAGATAACTTTTATGACGAAGAAAGTCGTCACTATAATGTATTCAACAAATCAAAATTTTTGTACTACAACCATTTATTTTAGAGAAATTCTCAATTCTAAAAGACGTCAAAACACACTTTGCAATTGTCATGATCTTGAAAAACTTATCTCATATATATATATATATATATATATATATATATGTGTGTCTGGTCTACAAATAAATCTCATAGTTTAAACAAATATCAACAAATACTTAGTGTTCCTAGTATAGATCAAAACCAACTTAAAACAAGTATTAAAAGTGTACTCCTTGACCTCTATAACTTTATGTTCTATCTCCAGTCGCCAGCCATTCTTGAGAATGCAATCACTAACAACCTGAAAAAATGATAAGAATGATAACATGACATATTAGTTAGACTAGTATTAAAAGACCTTGCAAGTGTGTTTCGCTTAGTCAGTTCTGGGTATTCTGGGTGGCTTATGGGGGCTTCAATTGTACCTGGTATTATCAGGGGAAGAAAAAAAAAGGTCATTGCTTTTGGTGTGCTTCTAGGAGAATCATTGGATACTCTCGCAGGTGAATCAGCAGCAAGTTTAGACTTTGGAATCCTCTTTGGATCTTTTTCATCTTCAGAAATCACAACAATAACTTCGTCATCAGATGTTATCTTGTACCAACCATGTTTATCTCTCCATAATTCTTGGAAGATTTGGGCTTCGGATCCATCGATTTCTCCTACAAATTCATGAACGCGGATAAAATAACCCGAGCATTCTATATCTAATAGGGCCAAATGAATACATTGGAGGAGTAAATTGCTGGAAAGCAAAAGTGGCCTTTTTTCCATCTAGAAATTTAAAAATGTAAAGTTCCCTCTTTTGGCCAAAGAAATGAGGATCCCATCAAAAATTTTAAAAGAGCGAAGAATATTACATTACGTGGTGAGAGTATAGCTGAGCAGATACCATTGCAAAGGCACAAAAGAATTGGAACTCTACACCAATCCCAATTCTCGGTAGAGAACCTCACATACGAACAGAACAATAAAATCTTGCATAATATAACAAGAATCCACTCTGGGCAACACTTTTCTAACCTTAGAGAAGCAAACTACAACCAAAAGGAATCCCTCCAAAATGAAGAAGAAGAAGAAGAAGAAGAAACATCATAATCCCATTTCACTAAAAAGAATGATCTTGTTGAGTTAAACTGAAAAATGATCTTGAGTTAAGATAACATACCTTTCTTCCCAAAAAAAGCTCTTCCTTTTCCTTCCAAATGGAAAGTTGCCAGCTCATCACTGGGGAAAAGGGCAGGACATAGTGATCCTTTAAGTGAAGGAGTGGCAGATGCAGCATGATTAATTATCTTGCCTAGGCTAGTGCATGCAACCGAAGAAGTGAGAGACCATTTTGTTGCCAAGGCTTTCACTTCACATTAAAGCATCTGCACAAAACGATCAAATTTAGAGTACTCCATTAACAATGCACAGAAAGGGTGACCATCTTATCAATGTTATGTTTCTAACTTATCCGTGAAGTTTATTCAGATATTTATTATTTAGCCCCCAAGAAACATAATAAACTGGTACCACACAAAAAGAAAAATGACACAACAAGACATCAGTGAAAGCAATCAAAGATTAAGATGGACATTGAGTGCTTACTCGTGTTATCCCAATCCCTCGATGCCACTTCAATTCCAAATAGATTGTTTTGATTAGGCAAAAGAACATATATAAGTAACATAATGCAAAATCTCTCGCATTTCATTAACAATGAAAAGAACCTAACCACAAAGATTTCACTCAGATTATGAACCTAGTTCGAGAATTTTCAAAGGGAACTCTACAATCACAACATAAAGAACTACACCAACACCAATGATCTGAGTGAAAACAATCTAATATTGGAGAAATCATAAAATTAGCCTACCATAGGGAGGAAGCAAAAAATTAAGGAGCTTACTTTAAGACCATCAACATGACAAGAGGTGAAGAATTTCTAGTGTTCGCATTAATTTCTTTCTTTTGGCTCTGCGAATAATCACCGTTTCTTCTCCATTGTCCATCTCCATTACTTGAGAACGAACGGAGGTGAGGAGAGGACGTGAATCTGAAATTGGGAGGATAGCAAAAGCTAAAAAGATCAGATTTTTCTCAACAAAAAGCACACAATAAAATTACAATTAAAAAAAGAAGAAAATTTATACCCTCTTTCTCCTATCGCAAATCAGGGAGCGATGACCGTGGCCGTCAGAAGATTTTATTCAATCGAAGTAACAATTGAAATAGATAATGAATGCAAAGGGACAAAGAACCTTGTGTAGCGGAAAACGCCGGCATTGTTATGTGCACTTTGAGCTATTCAAGTATCTATAACCTCCATTATAGCAAAAACCAAATTTTGTCCAAAATTACAAATGTCACATTATCCTCAAAAGTCTCCGAATCCAAAATTAAAAAAGAAAAAACCCAAAAAACAAAGAAAAAAAAGACGTCCACTATTTAGTTTCCCAAAAATAAAAATTCCAAAAAAAAAAAACTAAACAAATAAAAAAAAAAAAAGATGGAAACCATCTCCATAGTAATCCAGATTATTTGGTTAAAAAAAAAGCTAAAAAATCTCACATTTTCTTTGGTTTTGATTATCTTTCCTAACCAGCTCCCAATTTCTGTCCAAATATCAACTTCCAATTCTTTAAATAAATTCAACACTTTCAAGATAATAAGGAAACTGCAAATCTTACCAATTTTTCCTCCCCAAACCAAGAATAATCTCAATTAGCCTCTATCTCCTACAATCTTTATCGGTCCTCAATTTTAAATCATACTCATCCATACGAGGGTTTTGTATAATTTAATTACATTACTACTAATGGTAACATAAAAAACACGCATTCAACATCAACGTCGTGCTGCTCCGGTGGATTATAGCAAAAATCAAGTTTTGTCCAAAATTCCAAATGTCACATTATCCTTAAAAGTCTCCCAACCCAAAATTAAAAAAGAAAAAACCCAAAAAACAAAGAAAAAAAAGACGTCCACTATTAATTTTCCAAAAATAAAAATTCCAAAAAAAAAAAAACAAAAACTAAACAAAGAAAAAAAAAAGATGGAAATCATCTCACATTTTCTTTGGTTTTGATTATCTTTCATAACCAACTCCCAATTTCTGTCTAAATATTAACTTCCAATTCTTTAAATAAATTCAGCACTTTCAGAATAATGAAGAAACTGCAAATCTTATCAATTTTTCCTCCCCAAACTAAGAATAATCTCAATCAGCCTCCATCTCCTACAATCTTCATCAATCCTCAATTTTAAATCAAACTCATCCATACGAGGGTTTTGTATAATTTAATTACATTACTACTAATGGTAACATAAAAAACACGCGTTCATCATCAACGTCATGCTGCTCCGATGGATTAGAGTGGAAGTTATCCCAAGAGCGACTACTAAAATTGATTCCTCTCACGTATCAAATTCTGAATCACGTCTCTCGAAAAGAATTGATGAAAAGTCACTATAATACTCCAAAATCCCAAATTCCTCAACAATGACGGCCATTCTTTCCTCCTTAATTTTTGTAGTCGCTCCCAAAATCTCTTGTGAAGTTGTGAATCTATGAATAATTGATAAGAAATTGGTTGGGAATGTTAATATGTCCATCTCCTCCACCCAAAGAATCCTCGGATCAGACCTATTCCTGCAAAACACCTTCGTCCATGGTTGTTGTAGATGCTATGCTCTGGGAGTTTTGGGAAACTATATACCGTTAAAGAAATACGACTTAGACAAAGGTACAATCTATATCCTTGTCACAAATCTGAATATATTACAACTTTATTTAATATTGAAGTCATGTTTTTTTCTTGAGGCCGCACTTATTGGTGCTTTAGAGGTAGCTAAGCTATTACAACGGGGGGTAGAGCCTACAGGGGAAGGGGGATAGTACTACTAAGAAGAGACTCTACTCCCGTGCGCCTCTTGCTCAGACTGTCTGGTCCTCCGTTGCCGATGATTGCAGTCCTCCTGCCTGCTTAAACTGGCTGCTGGTCAGCTACCCGCTTCCTCCTTCAGCTGCCTGCTTTCCGCGTCCGCGAGAGGAATTGAACCCTCAACCTCGCAGTTAAAGGTACAACGCCCTAACCACCAGGGCAAGCTCGATTCCTTTGAAGTCATATTTGAACAATCCTTTACGTCGGTAGTCTTGACAGTTATAATAAAATTTATTTTATTATAATCTTATAGGCTTAATTTAATTATATTTTGGAGTTTATTAATTGATTTTATTATTGTTTTGTGTTAGAAAGTAAAATAGTAAAAGATGACTATTATGTA